TAGTGTTTCTGTCTCTAGACTGACAGTGGCCCTTATTTTCTCTAAAGCAAGCAACTGAGTATTTGGTATACACTGCCAAGAAATATCTTAATCAAATGCAAAAAAAATTTTATGTTCTTGTACAGAAACATTACTAAGATTGATTTGATCGGTAATTCCAAAAGAGCAAAACACCACGAAAATAACATAGTAGATCCTTTGTCCTTTTTTTTTTTTGTCAAATTCATCTGCATCAGAATTAGTTTACAGATGAAAGTCTGCAAGCAAGTTTTCATTCATCTCCTTTAGATAGTCATTAATCTTGCACAGCATGGTGAAGACCACAACATGCTTACCAGCTCTCAAATGTGGTAACCTGAGTCAGTGGCTTATGAAAAAACTCGTTCTCATTACCATTCTTTACATTGGCAATACATTCTTGGAGGAGAAAAAATAAATCCATTAATAACTCCTGCCAGCTGTCATAGAGAAAAGGTTAGAGAGGCAAAGATATAATTACTCTGGACTTCTAAGATTTTAATTAATTTAGCAGAATGACTTAAAACCAAAGCATACAGGTGGGACAAATCTAAAACAAAAAAAAATCACAAGGTCATAATATTCCTTTAAAATGAGGTCCTGTTCCTTTCCAAGGATTATGCATTTCTAATATGTATCCAAAGGTGGCAGCAACTGTTTATTCTTATGGGCCCAGAATTAATCTTTGAAGAGTTTCAGATGCTGTATTACAGGGTTCTGTCCAGAAGTGAGAGTCAAATTCATCCTCGGTGTCAGCCTAACATTATGTCAAAAATAAAGTTGTTCTAACGAACACAATCTGTAGATGACAAAATTTGTGCACACCACTCATCTCCAACTTTGTTTTTCCCATTACTGATGTAAAAGCAATACAATCTGATAAACTTGGCCACTGAATAACAATTATAACAACACAAATATGCTCCAAATTAGACATATTCCAGTATCACAACCTGGATGTTAGAAGGATACAAAAGCGGAAAGTATTTCCTACTTCAGTCAAAAAACCTTCTGTCCTCAAATGCCTGCCTTTCTTTCCTCTCCAAAATAACATCCAGAATGCACACAAGCTATGGAGATAGCTCTACTAAACAGAAGACAAACTTGAAATATTTAGTACAAGATCCCAGTGGGAGGAAGCTTGTTACAGTCTTCCCAAATTTGATTTTGTTCTTTGTTCTCAGAATTAGCACCCACACCTTTAATCAGTTCTCATAATCGCTGTAATTACTAATGTCATTAATCAAGTCACAGAAAACACTCTAGCTTATTTAACTCTACAGACTATATCCTTACATGACACTACAATGAAAAGAAAGCAAAAATGTTTCTGGAGAAGAATCAGGCGCAGGGCTTTCTGGTAGGGGTAAGTGTTTGTGTTTGTATGGAGAGGTGAAAGCAGGAAGGCAATGAAGAGGGTCTGAAGCTCCCCTGGGACAGCCATATTTACTTACGGCTAAGATCTTAAATACTTCCTGCAGGAACAGAAACAGCATGAGTTTCACTTTCTTCACTCTTACCCTTTAGGAAGGAATAAGTCTCAATAAGATAAGTAAGCTTGTAAACAAGCCCTTGAAGTTTTCATCTTCAGTTGCCTTTGGGAGGAAGTGCCCTTTGGAGGCATTTTTTTTACTTTTAAAATATGCATTAGTTACAAGACACACATGACACATATATCATGTGCGTATCTATGTCATTACATACATAAGCATGTTTGTGTGTATGCATATTGTAATAGTTTATTAAAAAATACTTCTAAGGTATTAGAAGTTAAGCTGACTAATCATCCAAAAAGAACATTACATTGGACAGCCCCCAGAAAGTTTAAAAGAATATAACCTGAAACACAAAGTCTACCTTGGTAGAGGGCATGAATTGACATGCTTCATCCATAATCTAACTGCACTAAGCTTTAAGAATTATGTGAATAAACTCCTTTGGCCAATTTGCATGAGAAAAAAAAAAAGCCAACACAAAATTCCAACCAAAAAAATCCCAAATTGCAAATTCTAACCTGAATTTAATTAATTTCAAGATTTACTCTCAGTTATATGTTCTTTGGTTTGCTTGCCTACATCTGGACCTCCATCAGGATGAATTTGAGACTGACAACGCATTTCACTGTATTTTCCATAAAACCTTCTGATACTGCAGGTTTCAGACTAAGTGGGTTTGGCGATACAGTTGGCCCATCCCTGGGCTTCAAATGAGGACCGGAGGTATCTCCCCAGCGTCTGAACCAGCCAACCACCAACTCACAGAACAGCTTCTACAGTCAATGAATGGTGCTGGTCACCTAACAATCGCTCCATTTGCCTCCACCTAACAGAGCAAGTAACATAACTTAGCGACTGAAGTGACTTCACGGTATTCTATATTACTAAGGAGTCCTGCCTTTAAGTGGGAGACGTACCAAAGCTGCTATGATAATTTTTCATCAGTGGAGGAAGCACATGACTCCACTAGATAAATACATAGTAATACATTTAAATATAAAGTAAGGCAAAAGCTTTTGAAGATGATGAAAAGATTAGTGAAGTATATCTCCCATGTATATTAGAACATAATGAAAAATGCTGAACAACATAGTAAAACCAAGTGTATTTCCACACTAAAAAAATAATCTAGTTGGGAAAGCTCAACTGATCTGTTTTTTTCATAATTCATTGTATTTTCAAGAAATATCAGCATGGGTGCTAGAATTATGCATTTGGAACTAAGAAAGAATGTATCTGTATGCATGAACACACCAATAAGGCTTGTAATTATAGTGTAGATACAGTAATACTGTAGAAAACCTAGCATCGCATAAAGAATATAAATCTGAATATTTAAAGGAACAGCAGATGTTTAAAAAGACTATTTAATCTTACATATTATAAGACAATTCTTAATTACAAGACTGTATTGCCTTTTATAATTATTGATAGGTCTTATTTGATCATGAGGACTTCCCACTCTCCCCTCATTTTTTGGTGGGCATCCCATTGCTCAATGTGGCAGACACACAGAAGGCCACTAGAATTTAGGGTCAAGTACTATTTGGTTTACAGTTATTATAATTTCTGTCACATTTAAAGCTTATCCACAGGGAGTTTGCAACCCAGCGCGAGAAGAAAGTTGACAGTGTGACGGAGAGCAGAAGCACTGTATCCATGAGGAATTTATTAGTCCCTGGCCCTGTACCACACCCACAGTCTGCACCATGTTTGTACACACACAGACTGTGTCTGTGCACACTCAGAATGACAGTCAAGGAGTATGCAAACAGTCACCATCTGGTACGGGTGGATGGCTGAGTAAGCCCATTTCAGCTACAAAGCTAGAGAGAATGTAGGTATGTTTCATGAGAGACAGTGAGGTCTCCCATACGTTAAAAAAGTAAATGTCCAAACAGAAGTTTCTGAATCTTACTAGCAATTTTTCTTCCCCCCCCCCCACCGGTGATGACACATGTTTAAGATAAAGGGTAATATTTGGGTCAGCTGAATTAGGAACTCAATTTTGGACAGGTCAAGCTTATGAGAATAAAATAATTTCCAAGTCTATAATGTGTGGTGTTTTTTTTAACACTGATTTATTAGCAGGAAGGACGGAAGCGAGCATCATTAGGAAACAGAGGACAGGCAGTGGCCTGATATGAGATTTCTTCCATATGAAATGGAAAAACTGTAGAGGGTATCTCCTCCCATCAGTGCAGAAACTGCTCCTCCCTCCTCCATCAAAAAGAAAACAAAGGAAATCCTATTAATGTGGAAGGGGAAAAAACAAGAAAGGAAGTTTACAAAAACGTTTTGTGCCTTTTTTCTTAGTATGAGAAGACACTAAAAGTAATTGACAGAATAGTTCTGACTTGTGGCCGCAAAGTTAGCGGCAACCTCAGTGTCAGTAACTAAAATGTAAACATCAAATTGGAGATGATTTCCCTCTTCCTCCAGTTTACCTTTGGTGCTTTAGAGAAAAGGGATGCAAGACAAAACAACAGCAGGAAAAAAAAAAAGAGCATATAAAGGAGGCTGCACAAAATACAGTTCTGGTAACAGCATACAGGAACGTACTCTAGATTTATGAGAAAAGAATTACCAGAAAGCAGGCTCTCCTGATTTATAATTGATGTCTACTGGGGGGGAAGAAACAATAACCAAACAAAACCCCAAGTCAGCTTGCACTTCTCTTTTACAGTTTGGAAACATGAACTGTTAAGAGACTCACTGAGAAAACCAATTTTTTATTCCAGCTGTGCAGGACATAGAAGGTGCAAGAATTTTTAAAAGTGTTATGTTTTAAAGCAGACAAAAAGGAGAATATTTTCAGAAATTTCAGACTGAGGGAGCAACTGAACAGTTTATTTTGCTAAAGAATACTTCATGAAATATGTGAAAATCCTCTCTCCAAAATAGTTTTTGTTGCTCAGGATGTAGATGGTAAATATAATTTTCACATACTGACCAGACTTTATTTACTTACCCAGACTTTTTTAGATTAATCCTGGAAATTCACCTTAAGTTATGTGTTTTACTACATATCAAACACAACAAAACTCTAACTGGTTTCTGTCAAGATCAAAGTAAATTCCAAAAAACTCCATGCCAAGTTTAGGAATAACCACTTTTTGACAGACTTGTGAGGAAATGGCAATGCAGAACAGGCTTTTAGGAGGAGATGTTTCTGGATGAAGAAAAGTAGAGGCAAACCGAAATCTAGGTTGCTAAAAAAGAGGGGGAAGAACAACTTTTCTCAGGTGGGTAGGGGATATTGCCTCTAGAACTGAAGACTAGGGAAGCAAAGACAGCAAAAGAGTGTGAAGTGGTGCTTGATGGAGAAATGCTAAAGCCTAGAAGTTTACTACTGTGAAGTTAGGACATTCTGACCCATGATTTCAAGATGCAATTAGGCTGCAAGCTCATTTGAACACAGAATAACTCATGTGCAAGTCATTTAGTGTCCAACTGCACAGTGTGCTCCAGCCGCGACTGACTTACCTCCTGTAATTTTAGATTGGCAGTTGATAAATTCTGGCTTCTTGTCTGTAAGGTATCGCTGACAAGTGTGATGTAGAACCTGAAAGAACGTGCATTTTTCTGATGCTGTGCTTGCTACCCACTGGTCAAAAGCATTTTCAAAGAGTAAATCAAATTCTGGAGAATCCTAGAAGAAAAAGAAAAATACTACTATTATTCTAGTTTCACAAATTATTTGGATAAATATAAAGAGTTATTATTTTTAAAAAGTATTATGCTGGAAAAAGCAGAAAGGTCATGCAAATCAAGACCATGCTGGGACTATTTTTCCTTTGCTTATTTTTGGATGCTAAAAACAGGCAGGAAGTTATTTTCTTGCAGACATTTTTAATGAGTATTTAACTATGACAAAAATACCTGAAAACAAAAATACTTTAGACCTGACAATTAAAGATGGAATATCATAAGAAATTCTTGTTATCTACAGCTATTTAGTTACTTATGTCTTCTATATTACACACAGATTTGTGACTCACAGTACAAAATTTACTTTCATACTATATTATAGAAGATGTGCTTCTGCTTTTGATGCTCGATCGAAGAAGGAAAACAAATAGTAAGTTGTAGTTATTGTATTTAATATATTACCATAAATTGTTGCTTAAGGCTCAGGATAACATGAACAGAAGAGCATTCCCAGAAAAAAAAAAAAATCAAAGCCCAGCTCTATACCTGTGTCAACTGCGAAAATAAATTGATTTTATGCAAGAAATATTGCTATATATAATTTTGTAATCTGATTTAGTAAATGCTATTTTGAATTGATGACACCAGGAATCACAGGAAGACAAGTTTGAAAGTAACCTGTCTAAGCTTAGGAACCTGACAGGACTTTCAATCTGAGAGTATCCCAAGTATCAGCTATTTACAAAGCTGCATAGCAGATGCTGGAAAAGGGCCTAAAACTCATTGTATTGGGTTTTCTGTGAGGGGTTTTTGGTTGTGTCTTTGGTAACAGGGGAAGGGCTATGGAGATGGCCCTTTAAGAAGCCACTTGAAAAGCTCCCCCTTTGCCTTTGTCAGACCCACCTCTGACCAGGGTCAAGCCAATCAGCACTCCTGCGAATTAATGTATTAAAGGGTGGTGCAGGACATACCTCACTCTCTCTCTGGCACCTGCCCTGACCACCGTGGCCCCAGGTGTGGGTGGCACGGCCCTTGCCTTGCCTGGCTGGGCTTGGCCGGCCCCGAGCGCA